ATCGAGCAGCGCCGTAGAAAACGAACAAGTTTCTCCGTAGGTCGAATCCAAGTGTGGGAGAGAGAAAGAGAGAGAGAGAGAGAAGGGGAATGAGAAGGAGAAGATGGCATAACGAGGGTAAACAAGTTTAATTGAAGGCACGGAGAGACTAGCTTCATTATCAAAACAAATCGAAAAAAAAAGACTTTCGGTAGGTATAAATTCATTGTGGCTCTGGTTGAGAAACGAGATTATAGACGATTCAACCGCGACGATAATTCGCGTTCACTGCGCAAAACTGGAGCGCATGTTAAGAGATGCAAAGAGGAAAAATATACAGCGACACGTTATCGATTATTGGCGCACCATAAATTGCCGGAACAAATTTTTAGCAATTGATTAGATTTTTTGAAGTAGATAAAACGCATTGCTTTATAAATAAATAGCATTATTACGAAAAATCGTCGTTTCGTGCTTCGAAACAATGCAAATTGAGAAGAAATTCCGACTACGTATTACAATTGAGCGTAAAAGATACGAAACACGTTACATGTAAGAAAAACCGCGTAATGTTATAAAAAAATGCACAAGTTTCCTCTTCGATTTACGAGATATTTAAGAGTAAATGTTCCATGTAACGTCTTCGTTACAGCGCTTTGCGTTATGCAGAACGGTTCTTCGGCGTTTATCGCGCCGGAATCGCGATCTGTTTTTCCGCGTAATAGCGAATTAGCCGATCGAGACCTATATATTCATAGTTGCGTTTAGCCTGCTCTGCAGCAGGATGTAGGTTGCCCCGCTTTAGATCGGCCGACCTCTCTTTTCCCTATGAATATTTTTACGAAAACGCAATTTACAGAGTGGGCAGAGCCGATTCCACTCTTAGAAGTTCATCCACCGTGCAGCCGAGGTGCTATTGTTCCGAGAGCCGCCCGATGGAGACCAAGAGAAGCGGAACGGGGCGGAGAGGAAGGGGAGGAGGAGGAGGAGGAGAAGGATGATATCGAGAAGGTGATATGTATATGTATGCATGCACGCGAAGAAAAGCGGGCCTTTCCCTCGGATCCGCTCTCAGACCGAAGGCTCTTACGCACTTCTACCGCGCGTGTGTTAATTTCAATCGACTGCCAATCTTTTTCCAATCAATCCCACCTCGCGGCTATCCGAAAAGGTCAGCCGCGGCTCGGTACGGCTTATTACGTTTATTATCCCAATCCTGCTTATTTATTATAGCGACTCGCGGGATGCCTGCGGCTAGGCTTTCTACGTCCGAACTGATATAATTTCGGTGAATTCAATCGACTTTCTTGACGGCAAGTTTCGTCAAATTATCGTTATTCAGCGTTTGCGCAAAAAAAATTATCGAAAAATTTCTTCACTTTCCAGGCATATTTCTTCGTGTTTTCAGACTTTAGAATATTTCCACATGCAAATTTAAAATTAATCTATTTATTGTGGACTTCTTAGTGTTTCCTATTCGTTAAAAATAAAATTAATAGTTTCAAAGATTAGAGTTGGAAAAGAATTCGAAAATATGAAAGTAACATCTTGAAATTTTAACTAAAATTTCTCCAAGGTTTCCTGAGAATTATTTCAGATGTTAAATATCTTGTAATTTAACTTTAACGAGGAGTCTCTATTAAAAATTCGCTGTGCGAAGAGAAATAGCGCGTGGCTAGTGTCTACACGACCAATAATTTTCAATCGTCCCTTAAATCCAGCCGAGGTCGACGTTATCGGTCCTTCCGCACCGAGCACCATTATAGTGAGATATTGTACACGCAGATTCGTCGTTTAAGGGCCGCAAATCGGCCGCGTTCGGAAGACAGTTTGGTACTTTATGAAAGAGAATTCTCGTATTCTTCTCTCAAGGAAAAATATATACAGGGTGTCTCGGAATCGTCTTCCAACTTTCAGATTTTTTGACAAATCGATCTTTCGTTGGCAAAAGTTTCGTTTATAACTTTAAATATTCACATTGTACTCAACGATGCACCGAGCAACTTAAATTTCTGATAGTGCGAAAAGTACAAGTCGAAAGAAATTAAGAAAATAGATTTTATCAACTATTTGTGCCTTCGATATTTACTCGCCGACATTCTTTAGCTTTCAGTGCTGAATAATTGCGTGAAGCCCGACGCTTCGACGGCTCTAAACAACCGCAAACAACCGTTTGCCGTTTGCATTTTTGCCCAGCGTCTGCGAGATCGAAGGGACATACCATATATATCTCTAAGTAGAAGGGGAAAGGAAGTAATCAGAGGTACTAAACTACGCGATACCGCGTTGGCAGTTAGAGCCCTGTATCTCCGCTGTCGCCGGTGGTACAACGACGCCCGGTATTATTTGCGGGCTGCCACATTTGTCGTAGGTGGTCTCGCTGCGACACGGCGCAGTGGCGTCGCGCATAAACGACGAATACGGCGTGTGTGCATCTCGCCGTTGTGGTACTCCTACCGCGACAAAGCCGATTCCCGGCGGATAAACGCGATACTTACTCGCGACACCTCGTCGCGAATCAACATCGACGCTGTCGTCGCTCCGCTAATTAACAGCGAAAATCGACTGTCGACCGGCACGCGATAAGCTGGAGACGCGTATTTCGCGGTGAATCGGGAAAGGTTGTAGATGCGATTCGTTCTCGCTTCGATTCGCGTTTTTCGAACTCGACACGGATTCGCTCCGCAGCCGAATGACAAATCTTCCCTTCGGATTAATCGCGAATCGTCACGTGCGAACAGCCGCAGTCTCGGGCGTTGACGCGTGATCGACGACGATATCTAAACTCGAGCAAAACGCATTAATTTCTAAATGTTGACGGACACGGGATCCACCGCGGGTTAACGGTTGGGGGAGAGCGATTAATAAAGATGCGCGGGCACGCGTGTCACCGGATATAAGGTGCCCACACGGCATCCATCGACATATATGCGTGTATATATATGTCGCGCGTTGCTTGGCCCACACCGACAACGGGGAGAGACGCGATTGACGCTGTCTCGCATGCATACATGTATATGTGTATACATCTGCGCTCGTACTCTCCATATGAGCGCGCGTATGCGTACGCCGACGCAAAACACGCGAGCGCGCGGACGGACGGACGGACGGACGGGCTAACGGACGTACGGACATACGTACGAACGGATGGACGGACGGACGAACGGATCGACACACAGCACGCGCATGAATATGTAGGATGTCTGGAAAGAAAAAAAAGAAGACGCAGGGGAAGGGCAGAAGCGGGGGCGGCGAGGGAGACCCGGCGTGCATAGTAATCGCAGCCGCGTCATGCCAATAACATCGCGCCGATCACCTAATGTTCGATCGATAAACCTGACGGAGTTTTCTTTACTCCGCAACGATAACTCCGCGGCGCGAGGAAGGGGAACGAAATGGGGAGAAAAGAATGGGAAGGGGAGGCGGGGGAGGGGGGAGGATTAGTGATTTACGGGTTTGCTTGTTGGGCGAATAAAGAGGTAAAGGGAGAGAAAAAAAAAGGAGAAGAACGAGGGGGAGGAGAGCACGCGTGTACGCAGGCAGCACACGCGCGAGTGTAAACACATCACGATACGCGACGCGCGGAGCGCTGAAATGGGCACAAGTATAGGCAGGTAGGTAACGCACACGAGGAGGAGAAGTTTACAATTTTCTGCACGACGGCCGCTTGATCGTTCAAATGCCAATAACGTTGCGGATGCCAATTGCCGATAATTCAAGGTGTACCTGCCCGCGATAACGCGGCCGAGCAACCGCTCGGCGCTGACAGATCGTTAGGCACCGGATGATAGGTTTTTGCCGAAGAGACACGTCGAGGAACGAGAAAGAAAGGAAAAAAAAAAAAATGAAGAGAAAACCGCAAGATCGGTGCCGTAGTTTTAGGTTTCGCAAAATTGACGATTTGCGTATGCGGCAACGCATTTCTCGCATCGTCGTTGGAACATCCGCGCTCGCTTAAAAAGAAAATTGTTGCTGGAAATCGCAGGGACGATAATGCCGACGATCAAAGTCAGATTTGACGAGGACTCGAACGGCCGCGACGCGATAAGAGAACGACTTCCCTATCTCGATCGAAGGCGCAGGTGGCTGGCGATACGAACGGGACCGCCGCGCGTTACATTCGCGAAACCGCTCAACGCCAGCGTCAGATTGTACCACGTATTCGCAATTTGCTATTCGCAATTCGCGATTTCTGCGCGAGAGAGAAAATGCGCCGATTATTTTATTTTATCTCGCCAGTAATATAATTCTTTTCCTCGACATTCCACGTCATTTCTACGCGAGCTCTCACCTTTCTCCTCGTCCCGTTAAACATCCACACAGCTCTGACTTTAATGTGTAATTAAATTAATTCCATTCGCCTGACACGTGCAATTAATTTAATGATAACGCACCGCCGCCGCCGCCGCTGCGAGGAGGATTTTTTCCTGCTTTCTTATTCCCAGAGCCAGTTTCCCGGCGGAAAAGTCTTTTCCCGCGAGAAGCCAACATTGTTTCCGTATACGTGTACTTTTAAAAGACCGTAATCTCGCGGCCCGATCTTCACCGCGCCCGAGGAGAGAAAATTTTTCCAACAACATGAGTACGCTCGATAATTACGTTTGAATTTGCGTTTCAAAAGATACAATGTTTTTTTAATAAATCGGCCGAACAGCTTAGCGTAGAGAATAGAATATATCAGCACTTTTATTGAAAGCGCTGGATTTCTAGATCCGCAAATCGTGGGAATTGATCCCTCGTTAAGAGAAGAAAAAGGCATTTATTCTCCGGTGATTTATTAATAGATTGAGTTTAAAAGACTTCTAGAGCAATTAACACGAATGAATGAGAAGTTTTCCAAGGGCCGTTATCTTATTTTTCTAGCTCATACGTGTCTCGCGTGTATATATTATCTCCGCTAGAAAAAACTGGCTTCAGTTTTTTTTTCTTAGAATACCGCTTTGACAAAGTTCGCGGAGGAAAACTCAAGAGATTTCCAAAAATACGCCGATAAGTGCATAGAAAATAATATGCGCACTCACCGAGCATCTTGCTGAGATCGGCATTGTGGAGATCCGGATTCTCGTCGGCCAATTTCTTGCGCTCGACCTTCGCCCAGACCATAAACGCGTTCATCGGCCGACGTATCCGTTGTTCCTTCAGGCTCCTCTGAGCGCTACCGCCGCCGGGATGGCACATCTTCACTCCCGCGGGAATCGGCGAGATGCCCTGCTGGTATTCCAGCGACGGGCCGGAAGCCGCGAGCCACGGCATGTCCTCCAGCCGCTGCTGTGCCGCCGGACCGCTCAGCATGCTCGGTATCTGCTTTCAGGAAGTGGTATATTATTGTAAACATTCTCTTGGACATTTCCGACGTTTATTGCCACACCGTAATGTCTCGAATATTCTGAAAACTGTTTCCGGCAATTCTGCGAAAATTCGAAAGGAGATGTCACGAAAAAAATATAACATTTTAACAAATATAAATTATAATAATTAATAAAAATATTATCATTTTTTTTTTTTAATCAATATGATACTAATTATTGGAAAAAAATAAGATAAATTAACTTATTATTCAATCAAATATCCGATAAAACGCTGCTAGAAAATAACTGATAATTAATGACAAGACAAAACACAAGATTAATGAATCGATGCGTCTACGGCGCGCAGATTTTACTGTCGTACATCCGGTATTTCACGAGGCGATTTGACTGCGAAAGCATCGAGATTCTTTCGTGCATCTCCGAATAGTTGCGCGCGAACGAGTCGTCGCGAAGAACGTAGGTGTTTACAGCGCCGGTGTAAACGTCAGAGTAACGCGGATCTATCTCGAGAACGGCGTTTTACAAGAGTCTAAAGTCAAATAAAATGCGTACCGAGATGATTTGAGTATCGATGGGCATCGAGCTGTCGTTACCGTCGATACCGGAGTCGATGTCGTAAGCCCTCGATGTGGGAGTCGCGTAAAGCGAAGAATGAAGTGCCAGGAGTCCGGGCGAGCCGCCGTAACCGCTCACCGGCGGTGGTGGCGTCACCTCACCCCTGTCATAATTGTCCAGCATCCTGCGAAAATCAAAGCAGAATGTATCTAGCTGTATTCCGCGCTGACGCGAATAAATCTTTGCACGCGTTTGTTACGCTCGACTTTAACGTTTCTTTTTCCCTTCATTTTTTTTCTTATATTTTTCCCTTTCCGTTGCATACATTTTTTGTTAATCACAATATTGTCTAAATAATGTGTATACTCGCGCGCGAATACATCGGTCAACCGCATACACGATTTTCCAAGGTGCGGCGATAAGCGCTGCTTAGGAGTTCGGATTGCTTTAGACCGACGCTCGATCGCGCGCTACGTGACGATAGCAGCAACGATCGCGAGCAGCGCGGGAGATCGATTCCGTATCACGGCTACGCTGATGTAATTGACTTTGGCGTTTCTCTCCGTCCTCGGCGAGAGCGAGCGAGTAAGCGAGATGAAACGCGAGTGAAATCCCGTGGGTCGCTCTCGTGCCCGAGCGGCCGATTGATCTGTCAACCGTTCCGTTAGGAAAAGAGTTGATCGACATGAATGAACCATTCAAGGCCACTTAATGGAATTCCCACGATTGTCCTTAAGGCATTATGCGACCGTGCGCCGGGTATAATAGCGCGAACAGCTGTCCGCGGCTTACGAACCCATCTCGCATAGACGCGCGCACACATCGCTGAGCACGCGTTAAGTCTACAGTCTTCCTGCGTAGAGGCGTACACATGCATGCACGTACGTAGTTCCGGATAAAACGCGCGGCGACATATGTAATGCACACGTATGATATTCCGCGAATGTATGCACCGCGTGCGCGAGCGTTTCATATAATGGCCATTGTTTCATCGGTTAGATTCGCGAGATGCCGCGAAACGCGGGGATAAAAACCTATACGGGTATTTTCATTCAATAGACCTCGCGCCGATTAGCGCACGTGTTTTTTGTCGCCCCTTGCATTGCCACAGCGAAAATACGTTTCGTCAATAGCTGATTAAAATAATTTATCGGAAATTCCAAGGGAATATGCTATATGAATCTCGACATTGAGTATCAAATAATTCAGACTTTTCTAATTCAAAGTATATTCGACCAGTTTGAACTATCTGAACGCATATTTTGGATTTTCAGAAAACTTGGATTGGTGTTATGGTTCTATAAAATTTTTTAAATGTTTAATAATGAATTTTCGTCGAAAGAACATTTACTTCAATCAGTTTTGGATCTTCTTGTAAGAATGCGTGAAAAATATCGAGTTCTAGTTTGAAACTTTGTTTTATTTACGCAAAATATTATATTTTAGAAATATATCTCGTCTGCTTAATATTTCTTTCACTATTAATTTGCGATAAATCAAATTATCTTATAATAGAGATTAGCATTCTTTCTACATTTTTATTAAAAATTAAGACCATAAATGCATGAAACTATTAATTGATAAAAGAGATATTTGTAAGTTAATATTTTGTAAATTAATAAATATTCAAAATTATATTTCTAAGTATATACATTTAAAGTAATCTTTCAACGATCCGAAATGTTAGACCGCTGCAGAAATGAATAATTAATATCGCACAACTAAACAATAATAAATAAATGATAATTAAAGCCCGCCAAAGCCCGATGCCTCCCGTATCTTCTCTTCTTCTCGTTTATCGATGGCAGCTTTTTTATTTGTGAAAATACAATAAGGATCGCGCATTATTTTCTACGACACTAATGAACTTTGTTATTGTACATTACGACAAAGAAAAAATTCCAAAAAAACGCGGAATTATACAAAGCTATGATTGACACTCATAAACAGGCAAGCAAACGGCAGAGGAAAATCGAAAATTCTATAGTTAAAATTGACAATAATTTGTAAGAAATCTTCTAAAAAAATTCGGTAAATTTACACAAATTAAGATTAAGCTAACGCGTAATTCGATTGTTGTTTACCTTCTTTTGTGACTTACGTGATAGGTACTTTGTTACCAGACGCACGACACACGCGAACGGAACGGCAGCGGCAATCGTTTCGTAATATTACATCGCGTATTACATTGCGATCGCGACAATTATACGATTTTCTACAAATCATTGCTGATTTTAACTGTACAATGTTCGATTTTCCTCTGCCGTTTGTCTGCCTGTTCCGGAATCTCGATCAGATCAGCGATCAGATCGCTTCGTGCGATTTCGCATTTCTCTCGAGTCTTTTCTTTGTCGTGAAACGACAAAGTTTGCGTCGAAAAAAGTAGTGTCGTACAAAATCGCGCGATTGTAATTATAACAATTTTATTTTCGTGAATGAAAAAACAGCCATCGATAAAAACTATGGCGATGAAAAAGAGGACGCTCGGATGAGATCAAACTACGATTTTAAAAGGTAAGTAATTTATAATTTATTTATTATAATAAGAATCTTGTAAACTATTTTTTTACGTTATAGAAAACATATAGTTATTAATTAAAACTGACAAAATTACTTACGAATCCATGAATCGAAAAGAGAATCTTCGATATATTTTATCAATCTACATTATCAAACGTGACATGTGAAAAGAATAAATTTATTTCAACATAATGCAAGAAAAAAAATTGACACAACTTTTCCCTTCTGAAAACTCAATACGATTGCAACAAGAAAACTTTGAGCACTTACAATAAACTGCGTGGGCGCAGATTCGAATGATAAGTTATATAATATTATGAGTATTAATAAAGTATATAAAACCACTTCAGTAACAATTGCAATAACAACAATAACGTAATTCCGTTAATACGATTAAGCGTCGATAAAACAAATAGCACTCTCGATCGCAATCGTGTTTTGGGGAGAATATATTTTTCATCGTTGATAAAAGAGTCGTCGGACTCACGGCGGATACGATACGAAATTAAAAGCCATTAAACTCGTGGTCGAAGGATTCCCCGGGTTTAGCCCGCGTCCGTGCAGCTGCACCACCCACGCGTATGATAGATACGCCACTGCCTTCAGCATTGTTTCTTTAATGATTCATGTGGGGTGATTGTACCGGGAGTAAAAGGAAGCAGTTTCCAACCGCGAATGCAATGAGCCCGCGTCGTTTCGAAAATATTAATTCGCCAGGAGTCATCATCGGACGCTGATGCATCGACGAGCGCGCGTGCATAATGTCATGCTCTTTGTCAAACTCCGCAGCGACAAATTTGCTAATCGTATGATTGCGCAGTGCAAAACAGCTCGTACCAGCTCGCTTATTAATTTTCAGGACAAATATATCATAGGTTTACTGTGCGAAATGAATAATCAACATTCAACCGCTGTAAAAAAAACCACGATTTTTATATTAAAATTTAATTTATTTTAATTCGTGTTATCTTGTATATCTTTTTTAATGAAGAATAAATTTCATACTAATTACGAAATAAAATAATAATAATTTCGCGAATCTTAATGATTTCTTACGTCAAACCGACGATGCAAACGTCATTAATATTAACAAAGCGTAGTAACAAGATTCACACCGGTGGAAATAATTTATACAATATGCACTGCACTAGCATATACATATTATATGTCATTGTTTTATGTGAAATATTCACCACTCATGACAAAACACGCGTTCAATCGAACGCTACGTGATGTTTCGCTAATTCTCGGACGCGTTCAATCGATCAAAGATCGAAAAGTCTCCGGCGTAATGGAGAGACGCTTCTCGAAAATCTCGGCGCGTAAAAAACCGTTGGACGGTCCCAACGAGTGGCGAGACACGTTTCGCAAAGCGTGTCAAGGGAAAAGCGACAGTTATCCTTCCAGCACCGACGCGCCTGCCACACGTTACAAATAGCTCGGGCCGCGACCCGCGAAGCAGGACACGCTGTACACACAACTGCGTCGGAGTCGGCCGAGCAGGGAGACAAAGAGCAGAACAGCACAACGGCGCGTGTTCCTCCAAATCGGCATGTCCGTTGAGCCTCATGAATCTCAGCCGCGTTGCGGCTCTCCTTCGAGCGAAGGAGGGAAAAGCCCGGCGTTGTCCTGCACGGTTCGGCACGCAGCGACAGGCAGCGGCCAGCAGCAGCCAGCAGCAACCGGGGCACTCGCATGAGTCGTTCTCATCGTCAACGACACACTTGTTCCTCGAGTAAATTATTCTCTCCCCGCCCTCCCCCTTCCCTGCCCTCCCCCCTCCCCCCCCGCCTGTCCCCTCGGGCCGGGCCGAAGGGGTCAAGCCTGCGAGGAAAGGTGCGGAGAAAGCTTTCAAGCGCGCGAAGCGCGTCCGACGCGCGGTTGACGCGCGGCGGCGCATTTTATTCAAATAATCGAGCGCCGATCGAACACACCCTTGCATTGCCCGACGACGCGGCGCGACGCGACGAAACGAGGCCCGGTGCGATCGCATAAAAGCGGCGAAACGCAATATACGTACCGTGTATGAATACGATTGTGCTTCGCGCGTATACATGTGGGTGGAGAATCGACCTGTATTCGCGCGTGCAGGCCAATCGCGAGTCGGATACGTAAATAAATCACGCCGAGAGGTGTGCGAAAAGATCCGTCCGCCGATGCGTCGCGATATGTTTAATAATCATATTAACAATATCTGGCAAAAAAAAAGTATAATAATAATATTCGACTGACCTAAATGTTATTTTAATGAACGAACTTCATTCAAACTCATTGCAAAACGAGCTGTCGCAGCGAAATTCCTCGCAAGAATTGATGTACGAAGACGCACGAGAGGGGACTGTAATTTTATAAGCTTCTGATTAAACTTTTAAATCGAATGCCTAATGCGGTTCGGTTGGTAAGCGGAAGTGACGACCCCAGCCGCTCACCTCTGTACACTACTAACGCTCCGGCGCGTTTCAGATTTGAGAACGAAGAAAGCGTGCGCGCATCCCCGAAACCTTTACGGGTTGTTTAAGACCGCGGAACGGACGCGCCAAAAGTCGGAGATCCGTCCGCCGCCGTCGCGTCGATGTCTGCGTGTGTATTCCCCGTCGTATACCCTTCTCTGACCTCAAGAGCAACGGCTGTGCCATTACGTACGACTTCCTGCCGACCGAGTAAAGGAAGAATCGAAGATTTCTACACAACTCACCTCGGGAAGAGGTGTCTGCGTGCGTGCGCGAGCGCGCGCGATGCAACCAGAGATACTGTCGAGCGACGAAAATTCCCAGGCTAACATCGAGGCTAAAACTGCTTAATTTCGGAATACGTTGCGTTAATTGCGAAACGGTATCGAGAAATTCGATAAAAATTCTACAAGTGTTTCCAGTTTTTAAAAGAGATCTGTATCTCGTCAATTTTTCTCACGTCTAAAAATTTCGAAAAGAAATGTTTTAAATGTCTGTATTATTTATTCCAAATTATTGGAAAAAATGGTCTAAAGATTCTAACAACTTTTTGTATTTGAGTTTAACTACATTTCCAGGCAGTAATAGAAAATATTTATGATAGAGAAAATTAACGTAACAAATTGCACATTGTTGTTGTATAAATAATGCAAAATATCGCACGCTAAAATAATCGTTTGTGGATGATTTGATGTTCGAATGTATTTTAACGAAGCGCATCGTCGAATGTAATATCCGGTATTCGCTGTGCGGGATACTTAACTGCCTTAATTCGTTAATCCACGCGGCCATTGTTTGCAACGATGCAAATTTACCTCGTTGCAAATGAGTTTCGATTCATCGATAAGTCGCTATTGCCATTATGTTTATAACGCACTATGGATTTATGATAGATTCTAAAATCGCGACGAGCAGCAGCCTACGCATTCTTTGCCGCGAATTGAAAGCTGGTCGTTCGACGCAATGCGAGAGCAGGCGAGTTTTTCATCGAAATTACTTATTGCAACGATCTTTGTTAACATTTATGATGCAAATATGATTTAGCTGTCTCGTAATGACTTTCTTTGCACTCGCCGTCAATTATAGAACAATGAAGCGGTGACATTTAAAGCGGAATCATCAGTTCTACTTTTTTTCGTATAAATTCAGAGAATATTTTTTAACAATTAATATAGTCGATTGATAATCGGTCGGTATACACGATATCTCACAAATTAATCAGTATGCTGCTACATGTCGTGCGCGAGAGCGTACATTTCATATGTCGAAATAACTATAAATAATGTTAATTCGCAATTAACTGCCAGTCACTGCTTAATCGTCAAGTCACCGATCTGAGTCACCGCAGAAAATACAAGGTCGTCGTCGGTGGCTTGTGCACACGCTCGTCCAGGGGTTAAGCGCGATGTCATTACTCCGTAATATTATTTCCTTGATTTTATATTCATATGCGCTGTAACAAAACATCTGAAAAACCCCGTTCGAAATTTGTACGGGAAATCCGATCCGCCTGACAATAAAATAGCTGCACTTTTTCCGAGCCGAGACGTTATTTCCAGTCATCGAGTACCGAGAAAAGTCGAGTTGTATTTGCCTGCCGGTGGCGTAGCGTATCGTTCACGGAATTATTGACGTTTCGTCGATATAATCGATGTATTTGCAAATTGAGCCTGCTCGAGTAGGCTAGCGCGGTGACATACTATCGTTAAGATATTAATTCTTATCACGCAAAGAAACGAGAGTTGAGGATTGCGTTGGCTGTACAATATTAGCCAAAAGTTATAGAAATTTGAAAGCAACGTACACGTATTTCGTAAAATAATACTATCAGTTTGTCTGAAGTGTGAAATAGATAAATGTGTTGATTGTGCGGAAAATTTCAATACTGCAATATTTAATGTCTTTATTGGAGAAAATGATTGGAGCAAATTATTAATAAATTTTGCAGCGCGCGATGTTCCGTAAAGATCAATGCGAAAATAAAAATTATATAATTTTTAATCCGAGAATTGTGTCTAGATTTTTTTTAGTATATACAGGGTATCCCAGACTTGAAGACCGTATCACCCGTTAATGGCAGATTCCTGAGATCATTTAGAAACGAAAATCTTAATACCAAAATGTCGAGGCTACTATGGTATTTGAATGGGAAAGGCTTAAAGTTTACCAATAGCTTGTCAGAATTTCGCGCGCTCAGGGACATCGCATCTCGAAAGAACCCTTGCACAACACTTTATTCAATACGTTTTATTCACTTCACTCAGCTCTTATTCACTTTATTCACTTTATTTACATTGTTCGCAATACTAACAAATTTACTAACGATAATAATTTCTAAATTGTATTAAAACGCGATGCGCGTCGAACTGTCAAAGCAGTCGTGCCATTGACAAATGACGTTTCTCATGTCATGAGAGAAAATCAATACTATCGATACGAAGTATGATCTGCTACATAAAGTATTGTGCAAGGATCCTTTCGAGATGCGATGTAGGGACCCTGAGCGCGCGAAATTCTGACAAACTTATTGGTAAACTTTAAGCCTTTGCAATTTAAATACTATAGTAGCCTTGACATTTTGGTATTAAGATTTTCGTCTCCAAATGGCCTCAGGAATCTGCCATTAACGGGTAATACGGTAAGTCTGGGACACCCTGTACTTAAAAGAAATATGAAACTAATCTATGAAATTTTTATACTTTTATCATGTACGTACATCAAGTTTATAATATGATTCGTATTTACGCAAATCTTCAAATTAAAATGTCGCGGCACGCGACATGCGATTACCCGGAACAAGCGTGACTGATTTTTTAATTAACAACTAATGTCATCATTTTGAATAGAAAATAAATAAAGGAAATGAGAATTAAATTTTTCAGAAGATAATAATCCAAAGAGGGGAGAGAAAGAAAGCTTTATTTATTTATTATTTATTATCAAATGTTCTGAAATGTAAATTCACTCAAGCGCGAAAAACTGATAGCACGTTAAAAATGTGAATGTGACTACGTTTATGATGCATCAATGTAAAATATACACAAACAAAATTATAGTATATGTGAGTAAGTGCACATAACTGTCTGCGATAAGTATAGCATATTTTATAAAGAAGGCAGCGATGCACGTAGCGCAGACAAGCCGAGGGAGTAGTCAAGGTAGAAGATGAGAAGTTGTTCAATCGCGGTTATCAAAATTTTTCTTCAACCACGTAAATACGGGAATCAATCAATAAATGAGCACATATCGATATTATTGCAGAACCGCGTGCTGTGATGTTTCAAGCGAGCTCAGGACTGAGAGAGTTTCCGCGCGACATTATAAATTCATACGCGCGAATGTCTAAAAATATTGAAGATATTGCTTGAAAAATTTTTTCAAATGCAACTAAGAATTAACATCAGACTTTATGTTTGATAAACACTTCAAATAAATTTTAGTTGGCCTCCGGATTTTGAAGTTTCTTGATAAAGTTTCACGTAACATCTACTACCGGAATATCTAATGTACCTGCATGCGTGCGTGCGTATGAAATAACATGACATGGTTTGCGATCCGTGTGACAGCCGAGAGCAACGGATGGAACGGCGAAATCATTTTGATGGAGTTGATTTTCGTCGTCAGGAAGCACCGCGGTCAAAAATTCTACGCTGTTGCCTCCGGCGTGGAATTTCTAGCCGCGCGTTACCACATTTATAAATTTAAATTATCAAGCCCGAATTAAAATGTGTGTAGAACACACCTCAAAATCGTTATTTTCTTAAGAATCATTCTGTGTCCATCTTTTCATAACAGAAACACCGAAGCATTAATAATTTTCAAACTATAAGTTATTAAAAAAAAGAGATATTCGCCAACTAAATTTTACGAAACTGAAAGAATAGCAAAAGTACAATTCTCTTAGTTAATTAATATTATATTACCGCGATACTTTGTGTTTCTCATCGCATCAGATCAAATGTTAAGATTTTTATTAATCCACGATCGGCAAACGTTGAACATAAAATTCTCGCAGCATCCCACAAATATCGCCGTAAGAAAACAAATAAGACTCGCGGGCAAACGAGATAAGAAATAGCTGAAATTATACGATACGTTAGAAACGCACGCCGCGACTGGCACTTTTTCTCAACCTCCTCTTCTTAACAGTCTCAAAGGGTTGGAAGGGAGAAAGAGAGAAAGAGAGAAGGGTGGGGGGGGGAGGAGTCGCTCTTATCCTCTTTGCCTTCGCAGTACGACGTAATGATAGTGAAACATTGAATCTCGAGCGTAAACTGCAATTTAATGGATTTCCAACACACCAACGTCTCGAGGACACGCGCAGGGGAAGGAGAAGGGGAGAGAGAGAGAAAGAGAGAGAGAGAGAGAGTGAGAGAGCAAGTCAGAAAATTCAGAAAGGAGGGAAACGGCGCGCGGGCGCGTGCGATCCCAACGAGGGTTGAGAGAAACGCATCTCATCGCCCTTCGGTATATATATATATATATATGTATATATATGTATGTATATCGTCCTCTCTCCGTCTCGTCGAGAGACTCGCACGGATCGGCGATAGCGCGATTGGCGATTATGTTAACCAAACACGCGCGGTACACGCCCCCGCAATTTGCCCGGGGATCATCTTCCCCTAATCGCCGGCGCTAATAACAGGATCACGGGGGTCCTGACCGCGCGGTCGTATATACTTATCCTTAATTCGCCGTATCGTTATTAATATATACGATACAATTGAGAACGATGGCGGGGAAGAAGACCGGATTGTCCCGATAAGCTCGCGATGTACGGAGTTTCGGCCACGCGCGCCGAAAAACGCGACTTCGCCCCCTTCTTTAACGTTTTCGTTTTGACAAATTTCACGAAAGTTATGTGTGATTTGCGAAATACACTTTGCGTCGCATTCATCGTACGTGAGTAACGCCGAGAATTCTCGCGATAATATTTAAACACATTCGGTGTATCAGACGTGATTTTAAAATTCAAAAAAAAAAATATTTCGGACAAATATTTTAAGAAAGTTTGTTACCTTATTTACGCGTCTTGCGGAAATTTTCTACGTTACGCATGAACCGGTATAAATTGATGAAATAAATATGAGAAAGAGAGAGAGAGAAAACAAAACTTACGTATAGTGAGAATAAGATGGACTGGTTTGATCGATGTGCACGGCGGTTGACAGGCCCTGCGCGATGGCAGTCGAGTGATCCCTAGCTGGCGAAGAATTCTGCGCCGCCGCTGCCGCCGGTATAGCGTGATGGTAGCGCTGGCACATTTCGGCCAAGTTCCACCCATGGGCATCCATATATTAGCACTGCTTCGCTTTTCCTTGGCGTACCATCCATTTCACACAAATGCGTTGATGCACTCACTCCCTCTCTTGGTCCGGTTTCGTTTTCTTTTCTTTTTCTTTTTTTTTCTTCGCTTGTTTTCTCAGTGATTCACTCGCACAAAGGAACGTAAGAACGATCACTCACAACGATGATGCTCATCGTGTCTCCTGTCGAGTAACGTCCGTGCGACGCGAAATCGTCTGTCGTTTAACGATCCGCAGCGCGATACTTCGCCGTCTCCGAGGATGCACGCGCACCGCCTGTTAATTAAGAAAATAAATTCATTTACTCGCCTGTTAATGACGCGTGCGTATTTAAAGAATCGATATAGAGGTGCTGTTAAAAAACCCTCCTCGCGACATGCATGCCAATGATCGGTGTGAATTTAAAGTGGAATTATTTTCGATGTCGGATGAATGAACTTAACACGCGCGCGACAATCTCCCATTAATAAAATAATTATTATAGAAATCATCAATGTTTATGTTTAACATTGCGAGTGACTTAAACCGACTTAGTTTGTAATATATTTATGTTAGTGAATTAATGTTTCCGCTTCCGCTCACTCGATCGTACTTTATATTTATAAAGACTATAAAATATGGTCTTCGAGGAGGATTTTTCTCAATAAATTCCAATTAAAAAAATTAATTTGTTTATTTAATTAGTAATCATACGCATCTCTACGTATATTCAGAAAATAATGCACTATTAAGTAGATTCCTCGCAATTTAAATGATAATAAAAATGTGAAATATTGCTGTATGAAACGAACAAAAACAAAAAGACTACGAGAATGATTATCAATTTAGAATATTATTATTGCTAACGGATAAATAGAATAAAATAACGATTTTCAAATAATAATATAAATAATTGATATAGAAACTACAAAAATAGTGAATATTTAATTAGCACCGCGTGGTGCAAATTGATTTAATTTACAGACGTTTATGTTTTTTGATAGTTTTATGAGTTAACGAATTAATTTGCGTTTCCGCTTATCCGATTGCGGTGTAACTTTATACTTGTGTCATTGCGACAGAATTATGGAACGTTTTCTCGAAGCGGAGTTTCTCCAATGACTTTCAATATACGCGCGTTCGATAGCTAACGGAACAACTAAATTCCATATTATATAACGATCCGAATGCAGTTTGAAGTCGCGGTTAATGAAAGTGTCCATTTAATTTCTAATCGCAAAACGGGTTAACGGGCACACCGCGTAATCGAAGGGCTCGAAAAGTCGCGTCGGATAACGATCGGCATCCGGATCGGCAACGGATAACCGATCGACTTCTATTTGCGCTGCGGCGATTGAGCGTTAATAACCGTCGTGCAAAGGTACTTGTGAAATAACTATAATCACTCGCGCGTGAGTTACCGCAACACAAAAATAATCATTGGATCCTCGCGATTCTATTTTTCCTTTTCGCTCGTGATTGAAAAAACGAACTACAAGAATTTGGGCAGATTCGCTCATAGACGAATGACGATGAAATCGCGTCGAATTTGCAAGATATCGAATCGCGGAAAAATATTTACAACTCGAGGTGAAAAATTCCGCGGTGTACAATTAATGAGTGTTATTTGACGTCGCGAAATCTGATGTTTCGGCTATTTATAATGACGACAGACGCGGAGAAATTTGCGACATAAAACCTGTAAATACCCGAACGCTAACTGGATCGCCGGCGGACTGTCGTTTAATTGACCATTGATAAATTCGACCGACACACGCACACACACTCGCGCACACACGGTCGAGAGAAACAACTTTGTAATTTTAATTCCCTCGAGGAATTAATCGTCGACTACTGGGGATCGGGACGCCGTGTATTCCGGCCGTTTAAGCGATCGGACGTTAATCACGCCGGTAACCGCCGCGATATCGCCACAAAGCGACCAATCGCCAGTAAATTACCGGTCCCGCGCGGTCACGAATGGTAAAACGCCCGCGTTTCGCCCGCGCGGAGAGGCGCAATTAAGCGCCGCGGAATGCCACATACGAGATCGTCTTAACACCGAAAACTTATGAAACGCGATACTCGCAGATCTATTTCACTACGCTCGCGCACCACGCTCGATTATCCGGCGACCGACTCGAAGCGTTCGCCGCGCCCATCCCGCTTAAACGTAATCGGAGACTTTCTGCAGTACCTTTCACAAGTCGAAGATTCATAACTCTTATCACTGTTAATTAGAGATACGTCGTGCGTATCAGCTGTAACTTCCGCGCGGAAATAAAACGAATGCAATGAAACGAGCGAAGTGGTTTGTCTTTTTTTTTTTTTTATTTAGCGTGAACGAGCACTGGTCGTACAACGACCACCGATAACACCACCTACGAGCGTGAGTTGAACGGCATAATACGCGGTGCGTTCGTTCCAGCGGAGATCTATAGCGAGCGCGTGCAATGTACGCGACGAAATCGTAAAAGAGTCGCGCGGGATCGCGCGGCGTGTACGCGAAGGCATACGTCGTATCGCGGCGAGACGCATAACGTAATAATCATAATGCGAGGATCGATACGGACGCGCGATGCGGTGTGTGTTCGTTCGTTGCATCGGCTGTCGCGCGGGGATGCCGATGCCGATGCCGATGCTATGAAAGTGAGGAGGAATGCGCGCGTGATGACGACGACAAGGATCGCCGCATGAAAAATTGCTAAATTATTAGTTTCTACGCCGCTTGTTTTCGTTCACGAGTGCGCGCGACGTGTTTGTACGTCTTCCCCGCATCACTATCTCACTCTCCCTCTTTCTCTCTCTGTACGATACGCATCTCTGGATTGCGTAAAGTAAGATATGCACGAAGAAGACGCATAACGCACGCCTATAATGCGACGGATATAATGAGCGTGCGGACGATTAGCGCGATTATCCGAGAAATGTCTCCCGATAAATCGACGAGGTATAAATCAGTATTACGGCATACTTTCTAATGTATAAACGCGGCATATCTCGTACGAGCGATCCCGGAGTTTTACGCGATCTAAAGATGCGGCAAGCTAGAGGCTGCTTTAAACGAAACTCCGGCGTTGACAAGAATTGCACGCAACAAGAAATTAAAAGGAACTGAATGGTATAATTATTCAATCTCATTTATTAATTCTGATTCAGCGCGAGTCGTCCTCAGAATTGCTCGCTAGAATTATTAGATTGATGAAAAAGATTTCATTTTCCTATAAGATTTATGTTAAATAAAATTCTATCTAGATAAAAAAAAGTATTTAAGTCAATAGTGAAAATTTTGCTTCGATTTTACAATTTGCAAGATTATTCTGGTGAAAACTTGTGCGAATGGATTTGTATAGCATGTTAGAAGTAATAAATCACTTTTCAATACTCTAACGTCCATAAATATCAATACAACTTTTTTTATTTCACGGGAAAAATAAAAAAAAATTAGAATGAGAATTTTATTATTGAAAACAAATGCTAACACAACTTTTTCTCAAAGCAAAAGACTGAAATATTATTTTATAAACGCATGTTGGGTAAATTCAAGGCTCTATCATTCAAGGCGCATTCAACTTTCTCTCTTTTAGTTTCTTAAAGATATTTTTCTCAAATTTTTAAACTAAGCGAAACATTCTAGATTTTATCACTGATAAATCCGTTCATCTTCATTGAAATTTCATTAATTACTCGATAAACAGGACTGTTCGAATATATTGAAATTAATGAACGGCAGTGCAAGATAACGTTCGAAAATATGCACAAGGTTTTCTCCTTTCATTATTAAAGCGGATTCTTTCGTTCGTTTAACGGGCTCGCATCTTACAAAGAGGTGGGTGTAGCGATAATTGTTGAATTCCTGCATGCGTCAGACAGAACTAAAACTTTGATTATTCGCATAATAATGATGCCGTCTCTCCGTGCAGCGTTCCTCGATCTTAGTTCACGGTAGATACGCGTTCCGCGTCGCAGTAAGGCGATACCGCGCATCGATCGCGTGCACGATTCCATCGAGGATTTTCAGGAGTCATTCGCGTAATCGCGAGGACAATTCTGCTGCGTCAGCGATTCGAGTATCGATTTTTGCACGTGTGCGCCATCGCCGAGGAGACAATCGCGATAATTACTCGTTCTATTCTTTTCAAATGTTAAATTATCTTCGCTCGATCATGCCATAATGTATTTCGTCGATATCAAGCTCAATCAAATTAAAAAATCTATTTTGTTTATCTCTCGACAGACAACGCGATAGCATTTTCAACAATAACAATCGAAATCTACCGAGGCTTTTCGTGAGGAAATCGGCCGCTTTCGCCGTGTATCGGACGCGATTTTCGCATCGAATCGATCAGCTCGAAATGGGATTATCCGCCGTGGGCTCTGGACGGCACGTAAGCATGCAGATAGGTCTAAACCGAACGTTAACGAAGGTTTCACCGCAGATTTTTCAGAAAATCGCCTCCACTCGCTCTGTACCCTCTCTGTCTCTCTTTCTCTCTCTCTCTTTCTCTTCTTTCTCCAATCGGACCAACCGTTTTTCTCTCTTCCTCTCTCGTTTACGCCCACGCGCGCGCAGCCAACTACGGAACCGGCCGGCGGGTAAGAGAGAGTGTATTTCTCGCTTATTATCCTTTCCTTCGATTTTCTACCGAAGGGAAAAGAATACGCCGACGAAGGTGCCGTCTACGTATATTATATGTATATGTATACACGAGCTGCGCTATGCATATATGTACATGTGTGTGCGTCGTGTGTGTCGGCGGGTACCGTCGGTATCCGTGATGTGTGACTCACCCGCACACGCGGTACGATGTTACACGCCGGAGATTTACAGCTCATTACCGATTTCATACCCGGGCGTCACGATCGATCCGCCGCCGCCGCCGCCGTCGAGCCAAGCCGAGCCGATTACGGGCGCCGAGACGGAGTCGAATCCTATCGCGTGCCATACCGATACGCGACACCGCTCGACGACGCTTGCGCGAGCGGTCGGGTTTCGCTCGTGGAAAACGCGCGCGCGAGTCGAATGACTTTTCTCTCTTATTTACCTGTGCCTTTTGCTCTTTCCTCTCCTTCCACAGGCAGTCACATGATCCGTCGATCGTTTGTACGGCGGTGCGTGATCCGGAACGATTTCTCGAGCCGACGGCACGAGCGACAGCTTGGGCGCGCACGTTCGATCGCGCGGGAGTTTTCACGATCGCCGAAGATCGTCGAGACGGGAGGTCACAGTCGATCGGCGCTCTTGCGACATCGCCGAGAGGGGAAAGAAAAAAAAAAAAAACAACCGAGAGAAAAAT